CTTGGCTCTCCCACACTTCACTTATACTCTCATTTATTAAACGAAGAAGAAAACAGACAGAACTCATCTTTTCTACCGAGCAAATATTGCTTCAAGTTAAAACAAGGTCATTTAGGAACCTTTTCAAAATGTGTCAGTATTAGCAAAAATCGATTCAAAGCAGACACATTTCCCTTCAGTTCAGGCGTTCAGCTGTTATCAACGATAAATGACCATTCCCCAAGTGTCTTGAGAATAAAAGAACTCGTTTATCACAGAGATCTAACTCAGACATTGTGTTCTTTTAGTTTTTTTTTGGAAATAGCACCTTGTGTTCTTAAGTGGATAGCTTAATTTGCCTATTTTTGAAAGTTGTTGATTAGGATCATTTTTGAAAGATTGAAGTTCGAATGCGGGCATAATTATTGTAAATACAAAAAGAATTAGTTTGGCGTACTTACTTATTTACAAACACGGAACAACTCTTTGTTTGGGATTGTTGTTCCGGGTGTGGGTGTGGGTGTGGTGCATCCACGACACAGGAAAATATCGTGGTGGGGGCAACGTTGTTAAACAGAAAAAAATAGTGTCATCACTAAGTCGATGTAATAAAGTAGGTACGTATCGAAATGTTGAATCATTTGTATATTTCTGTAAATATTTTTTCAAGTTTTGAAATCTACAAGTATCAAGAAAGATTATATGACATCGTATACAATTATAAAGTCTGTGTGACACGTGATAATTACGTTAAACTATACTCTAAACCCAACGTAATAGGGTACAGGCAGGTTGACGAACATGTTGTGTGTTTATTAATATTCAGGTGCTTATGTATTTGTAATGTGCTTATGTGTTCGTTAGTAAAGACAGCCTGTCTGAAATTTTAATTCAAAATCTTGTTTGTAGTATACATTGACTTAAAAAAAGGAATTCTTGATTTATAAAATATACATAATACCTTATAGCTTTTTTTGTTTTCCGAGCGATCTGAAGTAGGTAAGTACCATGAGATCTCCATTATGAAAGATGTTAGGATCCTTGTTAGGTTATTCTATTTAAAGTAAGACCACACAGAAACTCTGACAAAATCGAAATAGTCGTTTTTCTATGGTAATGGAGGCAAACGGAGACAGATCACCTGATGGTAAATGATCTACGTTTCATCGACACCCACTACGCCAGAGGAGTCACATGGCACATTGCCGGTGGTTCGGTAAACATCTCGATAGTGTCTGATAGTGACTGATAATTATGGAGCTTAAAAGAAGTTCCAAGTTAAGAAAAGTGAGTGAGGTTACCAGAGACCTAATACTTCTCCTTCCCCAATCCCCAAGAGGTTGGCAACGCACTTGTAACTCCTCTGTTGTTGCGGGTATCACATAAAAAAATAAGAAAAACATTCAGAATACTCTCTCTCTCTTTGCCTCCGAACTCCTTGCTAACCACACCGGGAGAAACTTTTATTGAATCTCTTTAAAGAAACAGTTTGAAGTAACTTCTTCGTCCAATCGCAATTAGTAAAGTGAGCATAGTTGGCCGGCGCGTGCTGCCAATTTTCTTGAATCTTTTATTTTATTATTTTTACTGATTAAGTTTGCGACGGCGCTCTATAGAACTCGGGGAAAGTAAAAAACTTTACTAGTTTGTATGGCAAAGGGGTGTGGAATCAGTATGAGTTTTATATTAACACACATTATACCTATATATCTCTTGTGTGTGTAATGAAAATGTTTATTTCCGACAAAGTTGCTAAAGTTCTTCTTCTCCTCTTCTTTCTTTCTTTACTTTTTATTTTGCTTAAGATGGCAAATTAAGTATAAGGTTGCAATTTCATTTCATAATCTTTTCCATACACCAATAATTTCTCGAATATTAAGTGCCCGAAAGCCATGTCTTGCTAAGAATTGGCCGGCTGATGTTTCGCCTTGTAAGTAAGGTTGCCGGCGGCCCAATGCTTCGATTATAAAGTCTCAACTCATCGTTAGGATCAAATTCCTAACCCCAAAAGCTGGGCTTTTGGAGTTAGGCTAGCCTTGTAACTCTGATGGCTTACCATCAGATGACCCATCCACTCGTTAGTCAGTGTCTCGTATTTTTTTTACATCGTGTTTTTTTTTTTTCTTTTTTGTCAGGGGAAAATCATCCAATGACTTCTCCCGCCCAGGGTAAGGCGAGAGAGAGTGTCAGACTCTTACTGACTAAAAACCCCCCCGTTCCTTCTCCTGCTCTGGGCCGAGGTCGCGGTGCCTCATTGCGCTTACCCCGCAGCCCCGGCTAAACATCAGCCCTTTAGGGCCCCGACTGTGGTGGTCTATTGGCTCTTTGAGGCGCGCGCGGAACGCTACGCGCCGTACGCTTGGGTCCGGTTCTGGTCGGGCGGCGAGCTACCCTTACTCGCCGTCCGCAGACTCGCGCTTACGGTGGCCGGAGATCATCTCTCGATCCCCGACGTCCGGAATGTCGCCTTCTGCGGCGGCACCTGCGTCAGGCGGAAGGTGAGGACGCCGTGGCGTCTCTCAAGCCACTCCTCAAAGAGGGGTCTTACCGCTGCTATAGTAGCGTGCCCGGCCCTCGGTTGCGACAGTCGCTGCTTCCACTCAGCCATGAGATCTCGCCGGAGCTCATTCCGCCACGCACTAATTTGGCGCGGCAGAGGATCCTCGCCCCGGCGACGCGCGTCTGTGCGCAAACTGTAGACGCGCGCGAGCGCCTTCGCTTCCAGATCCCATGGCGGTGATCCGGCAAGGAGGTTCGCCGCCTCCCCGGAGATCGTGCGATATCCGCGGATTATTCGGATATCGACTAACCTCTGATTACACCGTTTAAATTTGCAATTTTATGGCCTACTGCAAAAATTAATAATAATTAGATAGAAAGTTAATATTTTTCAATAATAGTATAATAAATAGACAATGTGGTTTTTTATTTCCTTTTTTAAAGGTTTTGTCTAGTGTTACAAAGGAAGGTTTAATGTTACAGTCAGTTGTTGTAACTACAGTACATTTTAATCAGTTTCAGAATATTTGAGTGATATATCTTGGCGGGGACGCAATACACTGAATAAGTAAAAATAGGCATAAGACCATACTTTCTGTACGCAATATTGTTACAAAAAGCCATACATTTTAGATGTACCTAAAAATATATCTAACGTAAACACAGTAAGGTACTTTTTTGAATTGTTCAAGAGTCTTCAAAAACTATGTCATTATTTTGTGAATTAAAATAACTTTGGTTTTTGGAATTGTTTTACTTTTCTGATAGGGGTGAAAAATATCTAATGTGAGGTATTTTTATTTCGGAAAAGGATTACAGTCAAAAATGTCATAAATTCATGTCATTCCATCTAGTTTGTTTCCGCACATCGGTGGAAGATATATGAATAGCAGAAAGCCTAATTTAGGTACAGTCACCTACATTTGCATATGAAGGCACCGGGAGGTTGGTACAAACATCAACATGCCGATCATCGTCTTCACAGTCCATCGCAGGGCAAAGGATTTTATAAACAGACCGAATAAATTACAAAAATCACGGACGTCGGCGATCCGTCTCAGATGACAGTCACAGCGCTCGCTTTCCACCATAATACTCGCGCAAAACTGTCTGTTTGACGTTCCGCTAGAGTACGATTCATTGTACCCTTGTCCGATGAATTTTGATAAAACCTCCTTCAAAATTCAATTTAAATAATCGACGCGTCGTCACATAAAATATAACTAAACATCAGACTACCAACCAACGTACTAACAACTATTTGTTATAGGTTCTATAGGTCTTTGTTTCCAACAGCTGAAGCCGATTAATCTACAGCTTTTATCGCGCGTCACCTGTCTTTGCGTACCGAATTATTCACAGTATTTAAGCTAAGCTGGCTACCTATCTAGCTATAGAAATGCATCATTATTCTCAATCCAAGAGCGCACAATATTAGCCGGTTGGCAACTAGCCAGTACTGTTAATATTCATGCATAGTTTATTAAATGATACATACATACATATTTTTAATGTGTTTTTAGTAGGTTTTATTATTAAATAACTAGCTTCCGCCAGCGGCTTCGCGCGTAGTATGTTGATAAAAAAGTAGTCTATGTCCTCCTATTCCGGTGTGTATCCTACGCCTGTGCCAAATTTCATTCAGATCCGTCCAGCCGTTTTGGCGTGATAGAGTAACAAGCATCGTAACTTTCGTATTTATAATATTAGTAAGATAATATGCAGCCAATGTTTTGATAATGAATCGTTGTTTTTTGTGGATACAGTGTATACTAGGTTTTTCAGTGCTTACATATAAACTTTTAAGTCAAATATGTTAGACACTGGACTGATTTTAATCAAACTTGGTACTCATATGTACGAAGTATACGTATCATGGGCTTAAATATAACATAACTTAATTTCCGAAAAAGAGTTTAGCTGCAAAGCTAGTAATGTTATATTTCCATACAAACAAAATCGCGTAAAACTTCACGATTAAAATTCGAAAGGTACTTTATTAAGTTTTTGGACCGTGACGTATTGCGTATTATCTGTTTGAGCTATCGCTTAAAACCTTTTCTAATCATGTACCAGAATTTTTGGGTAGGTAAGGTAAGTAAAAATTAATGCTGTAATAACAATTCGGCGGCATGTAACAAATAATTAATGGTCCTCAAACCACAGCCAATCTGATTACCATTTCAAAGAGAGGTTATCGAGACAGATTCTTGTTACTTATTAACATTCAATAACACTTTGTCTAACTTGTTTATAATTTAGACAGCTTTTGGTAACTACATGACAATTCCATTAAGAAAGGTTAGGTATCTTTAATCTTTTCTTTGTAGCAATATTAATTGAAAATTATTAATAAATTTGACCATGACAAATTTGAAAATAAATTGGTGGTCAGTTTGAAACGGAACCGAAGATGTTTAATATACTTAATTAAGTTTTTTAAGCAAGTTGCTAAAAGTTCACTCTCAAAAATATACGGTGAGATAAAACCAAATGAATGTGAGTTTAATTTTAATCCTGACCTTTTCTCCGCTGTTATCGGGCAGCAACAGGGACCCATGTCCTGACTTGCCCGGGCAGATGATCTTCATATCTGTAAAGAATTCAAATCACTTGATTATCTCAACTTGGCTGGGTAAAGCGCGCTTAATTTTAAGATTTTAGCTAAAGTTCTACTTTTTCATGGTACTATGATTGTTTAGACACCACTGACATAAGGTGAATGAAAACATCGTAAGGAAAACAGACTGGACTTATAATTTCTAACTTTAAGTTTTGAAATTGCCTATCCAACTTAAGCTAGCGTGGTGATCAATGCTCAGACTTTTTCTGTGTAAGAAGAGGCCTTTGCTCACCAGTTGGTACTTATAGGCTGATGATATGATCTTGTGCTGCAGCAGCAGTGACAGGTGAGCTTGGGCAGTGACAAGTGAGTTTTTCGTAATTTTGTTTTAAATTTTGGAGTGTTTAATGTGTAGTTTATGCTTATTGCTTATCTCTTAAAATATCCTTCATTTAAAGGAGCGATCGTTTGTCGAAACTCGTGTTTGAATTACTCATGTATTACTTTTAAATTTTAACATATGGAATGCTAATAAAGAATTTGAATTTGAATTTTATAAATAGAACCTCGGAATAGGTTCTGCTAATCAACTTTTGAATAGCTGGAGTAACATAATAGCAGAAAACTGATTCTTCTTTGTAATAAATGATTAAAGCCGAGCAGAATAGTAAAATTGTTCTCCATTCGTAAGGAACCTCTTCATCCTGGAATTAAAATTCTAGGAGAGAAAAAAATCATTATTTGTCTTCAACAGAAATAGACTATGGTCATAACAACAACATAATATATAATTGTATACAAAAAACAATCATAAAATAATGGGGATAAGACAGAAAATAAATTGCTTTATCACCTGTGCCCACGCGAGCTGACAGGCGGCGAGAAAAAGGCCGATTTTGTAATTACGAATGGATTACCGCATGTTTTCCTTTACCAAATATAAGTGTTTATTTCGATATTAGTAAAGATATTATTATTATGAAATTTGATCTTAGTACTTATAGTAAGTCTATAAAATCGCACCTAGGTACCGGCAACTCCTCTCTGCATCACCCAAAGGTTCGACAGGCAGAGAATGCCTATGGCATTAAGTCCACCTTGTACACAGATGTTTGTGCAAAACTTTAAATCCAAATCCAAACTAATATTATAAATTTAATGCGAAAATTACTCTGTCTGTCTATCAGTCTTTTCTTTCACGCCTCAACTACTAAACCTATTTGTGTGAAATTTGGTACAGACATAGTTTGGAACTCGAGAAAGGACATAGGATAGTTTTTAAACCAAAAATCTGCAGGAAGCCACTATTTCACGCGAACAAAGTCGTGTGCAAAAGCTAGGAAAAATATAGTAGACTTCGAGTACAGTCATAGTGGCGCGGAGGTTAAGGCACCCGCATCTCTTGCATGAGGGTGCGGGTCTGACACCTAGCACCTCACCTAACATTCCATGTACACGTTATATGTACTTTCTATAGTTATTTAGACACCACTGACATACGGTGATGGAAAACATGGTGAGGAAACTTAGACTTATTTCTTATTATAAATTGAAAATTGCCAATCCGCCTTGACCAAGCGTGGTTATGCTCAAACTTTCTCTTTGTTAGTAAACGCCTTTGCTCAGCAGTGGGCACTGATAGGCTGATGATGTAATCGATATATTTGAAGTCGTCGCCGGGATTGCTGGTGGATGGAAAATGTGCATGAGGTTACCGGAGACCCGATCAATCCCCACATCTCTAAAACTCTAATCCCTAAATGGCCGGCAATGCACTCGTAACTGCTCTAGTATTGGAGGCGACTATTAACTGGTATAATTCTGGTATTACCTGATGGTATGTATGACATCCAGTTTAACAGGGAGATAAATTATATCAACTATTTTGTTAAAATTCCTTAAATCAAATACACACAATTTTTAAGATCAATTGCCTATACTTACGCCAAATAGTCCTTTCTCCATTGTAAATCAGGTACTCGTCGGTAGCGCTGGCCATGCCTTCATCCAACGCGAACCCAACATTCAGGTTCTTGAAGGCTTCTGTCTGCACAAATTTACCCATACCAGGACCTCCGCCTATTTCCTCATCTGTGAAGACAGAATAATCACGTTTTCTTAGAGCTGATTTTGTAACATTTCTGATGATCAACAAACAGGGTTGGCTTTTTGAGTAAATTGCTGTCATTGCATTTTTGATGAGGTGGATATTAAAATTTTATATATAGCTCCTTTTTAGTAGAGATTGATTTTTATTATGTTCTTCGAAAAGGAATCTTAGTAGTTTATATCTAAGTAACCCTGATCGTCCAAAATAACTGATTATTTTTGACTAGCCAAAAAAAGTCTAGGTCTCATTTGAGCTAATAAGAGCGCTCGATAGATCGCTAACTCACTACTCGAGACACTAGAAAGACAATAGACCTAGATACGGTGCGACCTTTAGCTTGCCTTGTTAAAGCCGCCAAAGAAAAAAACAAGAGAATAATATTTACGCTTCTTCTTGTCACCAAATTCGTTCTTTTAGAAAAAACTTCTTTTGACCCTAAAAAAACAGGATTCCGTATTTAAAATATCAAAACAGGAACCCTATTACTAAGAGTCCGTTGTATCTGTTTGTGTTTGTCTATCTGTCATCAGACTTTACCTCATGAACTACGATTTGCACATAATAATATGAGGTATTTATCTTGCCATTATAATAACAAACATATAAAAACAAGACGAAATTACTATTAGGGAGGGTTAGTGGGGCTCTTATTTATTACTGACCTCGACCTTATAGAAAACCGGCGTAAAAAGGGAGGTTCCTGGACGTCTAATCCTTCCCTATCCCAATCCTCAAATCTTCTAATCCCCCAAAATTCTGACCAAGCCATTGTAACTCTGCGATTTTGTGGATGTTCATATGTGGCACACCGTTGGCTTACCATCAAGAGTTCAACTTGTTTTCCGACCTATCCTATAAAAAGATAAACGTAGGTATTCTTCTTCGCTGTCACCACAGTATAAATACAATATGTTATTTTTAAATTGTCTGGATTTGAAAAGAAACTGACCTCTGAGTTTGTTTCGGCATTTCTTCTCAGAGTAGTCAGATAGGAAATGCCGGCTTCATCTAGTTTTTCCCATATAAATTGACGTGTAAAAGTGCCGTTTTATGGCCTATTTGCAAAATAAATTCATTGTTTCATTGTAAAACAACAATAAAGCCTAAAAGATCACCTTATGTTAACATACAGAAATAAAAACAAACTAACCTGGTACAAACGAAAGATGGAGGGTCCGTTTCAGTCTGATGCCATTAGCCTTGAGTTTCTTGACTGCCTCAATATACTGCACAGCAACAGACTTCATATCTTGCACTCCTCGGCCGTAGATGACGCCGTCCACTAAGTGAGCTTCGAATGGGGGATGACTCCAACTTTTCTAAAAAGCAAAGAGTGACCAATATTTTTAATAACTAGCTCCATTTGACCTTAGCGTGATGTTTTATAGCCTATAGCACTCAGAAACATTATAGCTATCTATCAGTGAAAGAATTTTGGTCTATCCGACCAGCGGTTCCAGAGATTACCCCCTACATACAAACTTACAAACTTTACCATTTTATAATATTAGTATAGATTTAGCAGTTTATCACCAAGTCCTCATATCCATTAACCTCTGTTAAGTATAGGTAATGCAGCTTACCATCAGGTGGTCCGGAAGATAAGTTTTCTTTACAACCTATAATTACGCGGGTGTTAACGCGAAAAGTAATTACAGGTCGAAACTAGGTATTTATATAATTACTTTTCGCGTTAATATCCGCGTGATTATATGTTGTAAATATGAAACGCGAAAGTTTAAAAGTAAGTAAATCAGTTAGCATAGCAATAAGTTATTATTGCTATGCTATGGGAATGTGATACAAAAGGAATGTGTATTGGATTATTACTACGCTGTTGATTTTTTTATGGGATACCATAAAACCTGTTGATTTTTTTAATAATCCAATTTTTAGTAATAATCCAATACACATTCCTTTTGTATCTCATTCCCATAGCATAGCAATAACTTATGGCTATACGAGTATAAATACAGGGTGATTTTTATTCATAGCAACTATAAAATGGTATTTTTCTCTTTTTATAAGAAATGTAGTGCAAACTATTTCATCATTTGCCTAATGGAATAAAATATAAAATAATAATTTATTTAAATATGGAACATTTACCAAACCAATGTAGAAAAATCTGAAAATCATAGATTGTATACAGTGAATTAATTCAACAAACCGGAGCAAAAGTCTATTGTGCTTCGAATTACTACGATTGAAAGGTTAATTCCCCAGTCTACCCTAGATAAAAAATAAATAGGACAGAATAATAGATCTGGTACTCGTTAACGGTACTTAACTGCAGGCGAGTAATTAAGTTTTTCTGAGAAAACCTGATTCACTGTTACGGCCCGGAATTGAACGCTCCGGTACGATCCCGTTCACGGACTAAATAATAACCTTTGCGATAAGCTCTAGATTTGTGTTAGGAATGGATATATACATGGTAATTACGAATCGGTAATATTATTGGTTTGAAATTCATAGAACAGACATAGAGTTTGTATTTTATAAATTCTGGAAAATTTACTGATCAAATTTATATTTTAAGCTCGTTTTCATTTAATTGTGCTCTGTTACGGACTGCAGTTTGATGTATTTTTGAAAGATAGACATTTAGCTTTGATTTTCAAAATAACTGTTTAGGTCTTTGTGATCGGGAACGCTGTTATTGCAGCGATAAGATCCTCCTTGGAAGAATGGCCAGAGAGACGCCAAGTCGTTTTCTTCCTTCCTTCTCTTCTTTTTGCAAAGCAATGATGCTCACAAAGAAAAAAAGGAGACGGAGCGCGAACGGCAAATAGCCTCCTTACGGCCCAGCCGATCTCCGGAAACGGTACGCGTGGCCGCGGGTCAGGTGGCACTGTGAACTACGAGCTTTCCGACCAGAATGAAACCTGAGATTATGGCACATTGCGCTCAACACAGTTTTCAAAGAGCCAACATACCACGACAGATAGGGCCGGACAGGGCTGATGTTCATCTCGGATAAAGCGCAATAATTCAGCGCAGCCCTGGTCTGAAACGGACGAAGTAACGGTGTGGTTTTTAGTCAGCAAGCGTCTGATGCTGCTGACAAATGACTTGTCCCATCTTGTGTAAAAGAAATCATTTACTTTTTGAATTTATTCCTCCATATATGCTCATTTAAAAGTTTATTTGATGTGCAAAACGTTACAAAATAACGCTTTTATTAGCCACATAACATTAAAATACTGGCAATAAATACAAATAATTGGTGAAAATTAAAATGGAACTAATTTTCCGGTTGGCTGGCAGCGCAGTCTGTATTAAAGTGACAGAGAATTCGGCTCGAGGACAATATACTTTATTTTTTATCTGCAATGTTATCATTTTGGTATAAATATATTAACTGTTCAATGCTTCATAAAATATGTTCAAATTTATTTCAACCTTAAAAAGAGCACACTGTTTGTGTGATTTAAAAATTGATTCGGTCTTCCAATCAGAAATTGTCGCAAATTATACACCTGAGACAAGGGACATGATTCTAGCGCGTTTAAAAAAGAGAAAATACATGTTATGAAACCGCTTATACAAAGGAGGAATAAATAACTTAACTGTGCTAACTCTAAGGTTCTTAGATCGGGTAAAAATTAAAAAGTTAACACGTGAAATGAAAACAACGACTTAAAATAATAAATCGTCTGCGCGACGTCACCGCAACGCGCACGCTGTTTATAAATAAGAGTCCCGTTGTGACTTGAAACTAGTCGAGCTCTTCTTAATTAATTTACTTAATTCTTAATTCGTAATCTATACTAATATTATAAAGATGTGTAAGTTTGTAAGTTTGTATGTAGGGGGTAATCTTTGGAACTGCTGGTCGGGTTTCCAAAATTCTTTCACTAATAGATAGCTACGATGTTCCTAAGTAAAACATCAACAACAGCTATAAGCTATAAAACATCACGCTACGTTTAAATGGAGATGAGCAGCGGGTGAAACCGCGCGAGAGTAGCTAGTTTTTCAATAAATTTTGTGTCTCACGATAGTTAGTTACTACAGTTGTTCGAATTTAAGAAGCAAAATAAAGAAGATCCCTGAGAGACACATTTAAACTTTATAAAGCAATAAAATGTCGCTTTGTCAATTTAGTGAGTCCTTGGCTAGCTTTACACTTTTGGAAACTAGGTTACTTTGAATTTAATTTTAAACTGCGCTACAAGTTACAGCTTCTAGATCTCCAAGAACATCTAAATCTTTGAAAACGTGGATTCCTACACAATTTATATCGCCTCGAATCGTCTTATCTTCTGTGTTTAATCGTTTCTTCTATGAAAAATATCTTCAGTTATTATGGAATGCTATAACATATTATTTTGTATCAAAATGCGTACATCTACGTCAATGTATCTCATCATCAACAGTTTATAAGTGACCACTGCTGAGCAAAGGCCTCTCCTTACACGGAGAAGTTTTGAGCATTAATTACCACCCTTGCCTAAGGCGGATTGGTGATTGGCTGATTTTATTAATAAGAAAATATAAGTACAGCTTTTCTTAATTTGTCTTATATGTCTTTGCTATAAACTTTGTAGTAATGAAACAATTAAATACACTACAGAAGTTCTCATCATCAACATAAACTTACCTCAAACACTGGTACAACATCCATATGAGAGTTCAACAATACACTGGGTAGGTTAGGTTCCAAACCAGGCCAGGTCATCACAAGGATTGGCTTCTTGGGCAGAGGCTCGTGGACTTGCACAGAGAGGCCCATCTCTGCAGCCTGACCTCGGAGGTAGGTGATGCATTCATCTGGAAATAATAACTATGAAATTAGCACTCAATTGAATATTACTTTTTTGACAGTATTTGTACAGCTTTAATCACTTTTTAGTCAGGCGCTCGGTTTTGTGAGGGTTCGAAATCTGGCAAGTACCAATATAACTTTTTCTGAGTTATTTGTACTTTCTAAGATTGTTTAATTACACACTACTGGTATACGGTAAAGGAAAACATCGTAAAAAATTATACACTTTGACATCGCAAATCCACATTGAGCGATCGTGGTGATTAATGCTCAATACCTTCTCCATGTAAGAAGAGGGTTTGCACAGCAGCGGGCACTTAGAAGCTGATGATGTGAATGGTGTAAAATGGCTTTTTACTATCTTGTTGCTCGAGTGGTTACAACAAAAGGCCCGTCAATAGTTGGATTCAACTCCAAATGGACTCTGTCTTTTAAGACAGAGTTCGCCATTTGGACACACATGTAACTTCTCTGGTTTTACTCGCTTACCATCAGGTGTCCCGACAGCTACAGAGAAATTACTGATTATGAAAATCCTTGCTCACTACACAAATTTTGACCATCGTTTTTGATGGAATACGAGGCAGACTAGGAAATGGATCGCCTGATGGTAAGTGATCACAGTGAGTCACTCGCAACATCAGATTAGTCACAGACGCGTTGCCGACCTTTTAAGAAGCAGTATGTCCGTTTCCTGAATATCCGAAATCGTATCGGTTCGGAAACATGGTAATAGAAAGTCAAGTACTTAAAGTAGTATAGTGAAACCAAATGACTTCTTTGAATCCAATCATCTATATATATGTATTAAAATCAATGCCACTTTTCGTTGTGATGTTATTAACTCAACAATGCCTTTACGATTTGGCTAAAAAAATCTAGAGAAGGTCTGTACGTAGAGAAAATCTAAAAAAGTGTGAAATTGGCAATCACGCGGATGGAGCCGCGGATGGCCGCTGCAGCGGTACACAATATAAATATATGACTGCACGGTTGGCGCGGTGGCTGGGCAACTGGCTGCCGCGCAACGTGTCGCGAGTTCGATTCCCGCACGGAACAACTCCTTGTGGAATCCACAGATTGTTGTTCCGGGTCTGGGTGTGATGTGTATGTGAAATTGTATGTTTGTAAACGCACCCATGACACAGGAGAAAATCGTAGTGTGGGTAACGTTTTTTTTTAAAAAAAAATAGGCAATCAAAATAATATTATTGATGTCGAACAATCGACCAACTAATTTGTAAATTACTGTCAATGTTATTTAAACTATTAGTTACGATTAAATTTATTTACCTAAAAGGCTAAGAACTCACGGAGCGATTTTGAACCGTGCCCGCCGCGGTAGCTGAACTGCGGTTTTATTTCCAAACTCACGAGACCGGTTATTTGCGCGGTTACCCAGCCGCCGCGGTTGCGATCATCGCCCGCAAACGTGGCGGGCGATGATCGCAAGATTGCAAGACGGGCGATTAACGATCAGTTGAGGTCCAGACCGCCATGGACACACACCAGAAACGAGCCGTTGCGTTACATTTACTTCACAGAAGACCCGCCGGCCCCCGCGGTCGCTCGCCAACCGATCGCAAATCGCGCGGGTGCCACCCGCCGAGGCTGCGGGAAACCGCGGCCCGCGCGATTCTACTAGTTGCCCGCCGGTACAGCGGGAGCCGCATACAACCGCGTACACCGCGGGCGTAAAACGCGTCGTCTAGTAGCCTAAGTCGGTTACTGGGTTAGGCTAAGAACTCACGGAGCGATTTTCGCCCGCGTCCGCTGCGGTTGCGGGCCCGCAGCTTCTGTAGAATTCAAATATTTATATAAAAAATTTAAGCACATTTCACGACGCGTTTTACGCCCGCGGTGTACGCGGTTGTATGCGGCTCCCGCTGTACCGGCGGGCAACTAGTAGAATCGCGCGGGCCGCGGTTACCCGCAGCCTCGGCGGGTGGCACCCGCGCGCTTTGCGATCGGTTGGCGAACGACCGCGGGGGCCGGCGGGTCTTCTGTGAAGTAAATATAACGCAACGGCTCGGTTCTGGTGTGTGTCCATGGCGGTCTGGACCTCAACTGATCGTTAATCGCCCGTCTTGCAATCTTGCGATCATCGCCCGCCACGTTTGCGGGCGATGATCGCAACCGCGACGGCTGTGTAACCGCGCAAATAACCGGTCTCGTGAGTTTGGAAATAAAACCGCAGTTCCGCTACCGCGGCGGGCACGGTTCAAAATCGCTCCGTGAGTTCTTAGCCTTAGTTCGAATACCTATTTTGTTTAAATCCGATTTTGGTAAATTAGTAGCTGTTGATTTTATGCTTAGCAATTATGTTAATTAATTATGTTACATTGGTTATTTAGTTAGTGATATCATGGTTTTCGATTACGTGTGTAGTGTTCAGAATGAAACAGAGGTTTCATGGCGTTGAAACTTTTTGTAAAAAACGTTGCAATGTTGATTATTCATAAAAAAAATCATTTATGCTTATTGTATTGTACACAGTGAAATGAAGTTGGTACTTAATGCCAAAGGGCATTCTCTGTGTAGGTAAAACCCATCTAGTTTGTTTATAATATGCGATTCAATATTTATGCATATTTAGGGGTTTTTCCTATAGGGTTTTCATTTTGAAAGGTCTTGTTCATTTTTTTTTATTTATATGGGATCTCTACTGTTCTTTTACATTGAGATTTAGCATTCACACTAGTGCTAGTGATGTGCCTATCGAATTAAAAATTAGCCTTCAATATTCTACCTTTTTACACCTACATCACCTTCTACATAAAAACCCTAACCAACTCATTTACTTAATAACTTAAAACATAAACATGATTCGTAACAAAAATATTTCGACTTCAAAAAGTAAACTAAAAAGCAAAAAATAAATTTTCTTTGTAGGAATTAATACATGTTTTCATTTGATGATGATGAATCGATGAACATACAAAAAAAAAAAACAATCAGCCGAACATAGTAGCTCCTCCTTTTTATGTTCCTCTCCAGAGCCAACACGAAAAAGTGAAGCAGAAATTAATTCATTAAAACCATTCACGACCATTGGTACATGCAAACAAATTAAATGATCTTTTTTACTGCAACGCGGTCAGCACACGAATAAAGGTCCGCAAAGGTAGCGTGGCGTTCTAAAAAAAGCTTTGGAGCTCTGTTGTATACTCTGACATAATGTTACTTGTCCGTCCTCGCGCTTAACGAGGCTTCACACCAAAATAACACTTACGGGCAATATTTGTTTATTAAAATAATCTGCTAAAATTGCTTGCAAGAGATAGATCACTATGTATGGGGAAGAGAATAGTTGGTTTTCACTTAGTTTCTTGCATGTTTTTGTATTTGGAAACCTTTCCTGGACCGTCATGAATATTAAAGACTAAAATTAGCCAAAATTCGTTCAGTCGTCCATTTTTCTGTACATAAATATGAGTTGCAATGGGTTGAGAATATCCCGCCGTAAGGGATTTTCGTCCACCCAGGACTAATGCTATCTGAGACTCCAGTCTTAGATTTTTACGCTTATCCTTCTCGTGGTCCGAGCCCAGGCCCGTGGTACATTATTGGGTTCACATCCATAAACCCTGCTGGAATATCAATGCTAGTAGCACTATTATCGCAAACTAGCCACACAAACCTCTTTTTAAGGTACACCATAGACAGACTCGATTTTAATGATCAGATGAGGCCCAACATGGCCGATATTCAGCCGGGGTTGAGGGAAAAGGTATTGCGGCCTCCGCCTAGGGCAGGAGAAGGGAATTTTTTGTCAGTAACATTCTGACACTCCCTCTCGCCATAGCCTAGGAGAGTAGTCATTTGATGGTTCTCCCACCTCAAAAAAAGCTAGACCATATAACTAATACAACCTTTCAACGTTTTATACGTACCGTAATTAATGTTGGGATGTACGCTACGGATCCTCAGGTAGTTGCGTAAATTGGTCACTGAGGGGTTCGACTCGTAATCACTCGACATTTTTCCAAAAATGAACCACTGACTCCTAGAATACGCTCCCACTGCCGTTTATCGTTTGTTAGTGATGCCCACTAGTACTTTTGGGCACTTTTATAGGCAATTTATCGCAACTTACCGTACTTTGTACATACAACCGCAAATAGTTATATCTAATGTCTGGGAATAGAGGAGGTTGGGGCAAAATGAACCTTATTAGTTTAAAAAAGATACATATTTTTGTGCAATCGACGTGAATGGAGTAGGAATGCATGTGATATTCGACAGAAGGCGTCCTATCCACCAACGTTCGTAATTTAAATTATAAATTTTAAAAACGGAATGTTAAATTTTTTTTTATTTATCTTCGGCACTTTGTACTTTTTTAAGTGTAGTTTCTCTTTATCTTTATCAAACTATCAAGAAATAGACAGTCAGATAATGTAACTGTAACAATATACAATTTTAAATAATTCAATACTTCTATTTGACATCTCGAGAAAAATACGTTTCTTTGAATTTTGTATGGGAACAAAACTGTGACGTTAATATATTTTTTTATCAATTATCTAGCATATCATCATAACATTACAAAATAAAGTATATCGTTAAATTAATGAAAAAATAACTAAAAGACTAAAAATAAATAATAAAATAATTTGTACTGTTTTATTCAACGATATTGTCTTAAAACTATTTTAAATCACGTAAAGATACATTTGAAGATGTATTGAAATGATTAATTTTACTGTATATTTTTAGAGTAGGTAAATTTTCAATTTATAAAAACTACTTTCATTGCCACATCAGTAGAACTGCTATTTCGAGCTAATGAAATAAGTCAGGATGGCCGAGCGGTCTAAGGCGCTGCGTTCAGGTCGCAGTCCACTTCTGTGGGCGTGGGTTCGAATCCCACTTCTGACAGATTATTTTTGTACAACGAACATTTTATTTCGATTTTTTTTTCAGTCGTTCATATTAAAGGAATTTTAGTTTTATTTTCAAAAAACTAAATAGTTGATAATCTTTTTTCAAATTTTACCAGTATGCTGCATATTCCCCAAGCAGGTAGCCAGAAAAGAACCATTATTGTACATATTCTAAATATTAAAAAACACAACTGTATTTAATAAATAGATCTTTGTAATTTACTATTAAATTTAAATAAAAAGAATAAATTTTTCATCAAAAACAAATTATTGTTATTATAGTAAAAAAAAGATTTAATTATTTTTAAAGCAAATTGGCGAAAATCGAGATTCATTGTGACGTCACGACATACAAATCAACAAGATTGGCCCTAAAACATAAACCGTGGTCACGTGATCACCTTGCAATCACGGCAATGGTGATTATTTATTTATTATTATTTATTATTTATTTATGTTAAAACGGTTTACAAACCAATTACATTAACACAGTGATATGTAAGAAAATGTAGTGACGTGACGTTAATTCGTGTCACTTAGCGTTTTAGCGCGAAGTTGAGCTGATTATTTCAATCATTATCCATGTATACTACTGAGCAATACAATCACTGCTTGTCTTGGGAACTAAATGAAAATCCCTTAGTTAACCAACAATCCTAGCGTTGCCTTTTATTTAGGGATCAAACTGAGATCCATTGCTTGGCAACAGATCTAGTGGCAACACGAACAATGAGACAATAAAAAAATATTACATATAAATATTATTTAAAACTGTTAGTCAGCCAGCATGATTGAGTAGTGTCCTATAGGCCAAAAATAAATTATTCTGGCTTTTTAATACAATAAAATAAAATCACATTTGATAATATATTCTTAAAAATCGATTAATTCATTCAATTTTACAAAAAACAATGGTATATTCTTTCAGAACAATACAATTATTACATACAATAATTTTATAAAAGTATCGTTTTGGCATTTTAAGAAAAGTAAATTTCACACATGACTAGTTTCTAAATGTCGTCGGATTGTCCAGTGGTTATTTTTAGTCGCACCTCCTCAAATTAACAAAACAAATACAATAGTAGTAGCTGTAGTAAACAGTATCTAGTTGCCGCAACCACAATATTGATACCCGGAATGTAGGTGAGATAGGGGACAAGGGAACTGATAGCAAACTGACCTATTAGAAGCCGGGGCTGTGGGTGCAACGCAATAATTTACAACTATCCCAGGCCGGAGCAGTTGAAGCAATGTAGTGATTTTTAGTTACTCGATTAATAGATGTAGGCGATACTCCGGGCGTCGGGGATCGAGAGACGATCTCCAGCGACCGCGACCCGACCAGAACCAGATCCAATCGTACGGCGCGTAACGTTCTGCGTGGGCGTCGATAAACCAATAAGGCCAATAAACCACCACAGACGGGACCCTGTAGAGCTAATGTTGTAAAAAATATGTACGTACACATTCAAATACCTCACAAAACACTCAGACCCATAATAATATTAAACTAGATGAAGAGTAGTTTGTACAGGAATCGACGGCCAACCCGTCAATACTCCTCATAATTTATCTTGCATTCACTGCTAAGTTAGTAGCGTATGAAAAAAGCAACGACTCAATTTCCGCCTCAAGCAAAGTAAGTATATATAATAGTATATAATATTTCAGTATATGAAATTGTGCTCGATAACATGTCTAACAATCATCCTGTATTTATAGGACTAGTGACAGACATGTTGATAAGTGCCGACAAAAAAAAACTAAACACACTAAGAAAATCTATACCTGCAACACGAGAGGAGGTTTCGGTTCCTTTAAGGATTGGGGAGAATTTATAACAATTAAAAAACTTTACTTACACCATTTAAAATACTTTAAAAAAAAAACGTTGCCCCATACTAGGATTTTCTCCTGTGTCGTGGGTGCGGTTACAAACATACAATTTCACATAAACATGACATCCAGACCCGGAACAACAATTTGTGCATCACACAAACAGTTGTGCCGTGTGGGAATCGAACCCGCGACACGTTGCCCAGCCACCGCACTAACCATGCAGTCAAAACCGATTTCTGAACATACTGAGCATCATGAATACTGAACCGATTTCTGTGAAACTTGGTATAGACATAGTGTGGAACTTGAGAAAGGACATAGCATAGTTTTTATACGAAAAATCTGCAGGAAGTCACTATTCCACGCGAACGGAATCGCGGGCAAAAGCTAGTAAACCATAAGAAGATAACAAGCGCATGCAGTCATCAAACATAAAGTCAGAGCAATGTATCACCGTTATCAGTGCGTAACTCAGTATATACACAAACACATATGTACATATATACTCGTATACATATAATGTACAATGTATACATCGCAACACATGCAAAGGAACAGGGTTATCTGTCACTTCTTATCTTGGACTGTTAGTGGATTCTCGACGGACGGATTTCATTTTATGTTTTTATTTAAGCTTTTACACAAGCATTCGTATACAAGGTGGACTTTCTCTGCCAGTCGAACCTGAAATGAAAATGTTTTATAATTACAATTGTCGGTTATTACAATTTGTTGTTTTAGTTATAGGTAATAAAAGTCTGTACACTTGGTGCACTGGCTGTTTTTGTGAGAAGAAAATCAGCATAAAGACTTTCCTCGCCCAGGGTACCTAAGGCCAGAAGGAGTGTCAGACTTTTTCAGACTAAAAACTATTCTGCTCTACTACCTCCACCACCTAAAATGGGAGAAGTCATAAAATGATTTCCCTGTTAAAAAAGAAAAGGATCTAACAATAAAATAAACAAATTAATAGAGATCATATTATAAAACCGTTATTTTAATTTGAACGCATTCGAAATTCGAATTAGTGTTTTCGTGACTACCCTCGGTTTGCATGCCGGCTGAGATGCCAAATGACCATTAAAGTTCTTGTGTTAGGGTTGGTTTGGTAACCAAATCGTTTACTTTATTTATTTTAGAGGCTATAATTAATAAAATTACGTATTACTGTTGCTGGTGGCATTGACCTTATAACCTTAGACCAAATATCACTGCGGTGCCGTTAACAGTTTTTAAATTCTTCATATTTTTCGTCTCTTTCGCGAGTAATAGTTACCTACTTACTTTTGGAAAAAATTATGTGAGTTTATATGTTGAAAAAATATTTATAATATATTTTGACATAATAATATGTAATTTGTGTAACATGTCACCCAGTGTCCAGTAGAGTTTTAAAATGATCATGGTTATTCAAAGGTTTTGTTTTAATGTTTGTACTTTTAAATACATATACTTAATTTAGGTGTCTTCAAGGCTAGGGTGAATAGGCTTTTAATAAACTAGTGCGCCTTACCATCACCGATTGCATCACTGCTTACCATCAGGTGGGATTGCAGTCAAGCACTAGTTTATTGCAAGTAAAAAAAAAAACAAATTATCAAGTCAAAAGAAACTTATTTATACCACTTTGTTGAAAGCTCTAAAATATTAAAAAATGTCGTCTAACGATTGGTCCTGAAATTAAGTAATTTATTTATCCCAACAAGTATATCTCACGGTGACTTCTTATTTACAGTATCTATCTATATTTATCCTAAATTTATATTTAAAAACTGTTTTGGCAAATTTTATTGATGTCACATTTCACATACTTGAATAAATTAATAAAAAAACAAAAACTGATTTATATTCGGTCCTTAGGTCCTATTTTATGATCTTTTTAATCGCGCCATCTAGCGGTAGCCGCTAACACTAGGAAAATCAACAAGTGGCTTGAAAATGTTACAAGCTTTGCGTTTTGGGCGGCAGCCTTGGTTTCAGGCGGTAGGGTACAAGAATTTTCACACAGGTGGCGCTTTCAGGCTTCTGTGAAAGAGTTCCAGTGAAAATAATCAACTTAAATTGGTTACTCGGTATATTTAGTCCTGTTGGATAAAGAAAGATGGCAGTATGTAAAACAAAGTTAAGCCTTGAACCCAGAACATTTTAACTCAGAGGAATGGGCAAGTGGGCAAGGGCACAATATTTTTGTTTTCGTTTTTTTTTAAGTAGGTACCATATCGTATACTAGGATTTTATCCTGTGCGTGCCTTTAAAAACATAAAATGACACCTACACACATCACACCCAGACCCGGAACAAAA